TCTCTCTCTCTCTCTCTCTCTCTCTCTCTCTCTCTCTCTCTCTTTCTTTCTTTCAGACAAGGCCTCACTGGATACTTTAGACTGGCCCTGAACTCACTATGTAGTTTAGGTTGGCCTGGAACTTGAGGTGATCCTCCTGCCTCAGCCTCCCAAGTGCTGGGATTACAGGTGTGCATTACCATGCCCAGATCAAGGTTTTTTCTTTTTTTTTTGGTACCAGGGATCGAACTCGGGTCCTTGCGCTTGCAAGGCAGGCGGCGGAACCACTGAGCTAAATCCCTGGCCCCTTCAAGGTTTTTTCTTATGAATTCTAATGGACTTTGAGTTAATTTTTGCATATGCTAAAACGTGTACATAAAATTTATTTATTTGCACATGTATATCTAATTACTCAACATCATTTTTCAAAAAGGCTTTCTTCTCCACTGAATTGCTTTATACTTTTGTCAACAGTCAGTTTTGCATTGTCCTCTTTCCTAGGGACACCATAACAAGTGAGCAGAAACTCAAACTTAGTGGCTTAAGACAAGAGGAATTTATTAGGCTGGGGGCACAAACCCACTGACTAGTGCTCCTGTCCATGGTATTCTGAACTCTTTTTACCGTACCCTTGATCCGATTGTCCGATTTGCAGCACCACATTGTCTCGGTTCCCATAGCTTTCTATTAAGTCTTGAATCAGGTAGTACAGATCCCATCATTGTTCTTTTTCAAAGTTGCTAGGTCCTTTGTATTTCTGTCAAATACAACAATCAGTGTGTCAATTTCCAAAAAGAGACTTGGATTCGTGTCGAATGTACTCGGGGAGAATGAACAAATTAACATGGTAACAATACAGAGTGGAGGCTGCCTCTGCTTTTATAAGGCCGCTCCTAGTCCATGTTCAGTCGCTTCTCCTGTTTTTTGAATCCCACCTTAGCTCTTTTCCTCCTTTGGTGAAAGTGTGAGATTTATAGGATTTAAAGAGAAACCAGAGTACCGTTCCCTCCCTTTGGGACTTGGTGTCCTGCAGAGTGAGGCTGCAGTGTGGACCCGAGGGAACAGTCTGGCCCCTCCTCACTCTCCCAGGGGATGGAAGCTGTTCCACGGCTCACCTGTCACAGTTCTATGCCGCCTTCCAGGCCGGGCAAATAGGCCCCACTGATGTCTTCCTGATTGGACAGCCAGGCATGCAGAGGAAGCTGTGAGGTACACACACACACACACACACACACACACACACACACGCGCGCGCGCTGGCTCAGCAGCCTCTGTGGTCCAAGGAACACAACCTAATGCAACAGCAGGTGTGAAAGGGCCTAGGCCAGAGCCTGGGGGAACCCTCCAGCCGCCTCCTGGTGACCAGAGTCAGGGCCCCGAGAGGTTTCCTGGCTGATGGTGACCCTGCAGTGGACTCAGGGCAGCAGACAAGCGAGGGCCTCGCTGCCACGGCCTCCAGCTCAGACCTGCGTGACCCGCGAGGGAGCCCCGCAGTGGAACTCTGCGGGTCCCAGGCCTTGTTCTGTTGCGACAATGAGTGGGTTCTCCCGCCTCCCCCGCCCCCCACCGGGAAGCCCCGCTGCACAGGGCGCCCCTCACTGCTCTGGGACCTAGGGCTCGGGTTTCAATCCCCAGGCCCAGGGCTCGCTGTGCAATCCCAGCCTGCAGCCCCGGGGGTTGAGCCTCTTGGGTTTCTTGCTTACGGGAATTGTGAGGAAATTGTGGAGAATCTGAGATTTCCTCACTAATTTACACCCACGGCTCCCCTTGCAGGATCGCATGGCCCTGAACAAAGGCAGGGAACCTAACCGTGGGAACCCGATCCCTGAGGTCCGGTGACACCACACCGAGGAACAAACAGCACCGAGGTCACCGAGAGCTGCTCCCAGCGAGGAGGAGGAAGCTGAAGGCTTTGAGCGGAGGCCCAAGCCGCGCAGCCGGTGGGGGCCTGGGGTTGCCAACACCTGGGAGCACCTTTGCAGTCCCCTCCCTGGAGCTGTCTACTCCGGTTTCTTTTCCTCCCACTGCTTTCCAGCCCCATCCCCGGCTGCCCAGGCTCCCTGTTAGTTCTCCGCCTTTTCACCCTTGCTCCCCGCTGGCTCCTTCCCTCAACCTAGAAACACTCAGGTCTTTGCAATTGTATGATAAAGCCTCCTTCTGCCCCTCTGGTCATTGGTCTACTTCTATTTTGTTTGTTTGGTTTTGGTTTTTTTGGAGACAAGGTCTCGCTCTATAGTCCAGGCTGGCCTTGAATTCATGGCAATCCTCCTGCCTCAGCCTCCTGTGTGCTAGAATTCTAGGTGTGTAGCACCACGCCCAGCTCCCCAGCTTCTGGATTTTCACATCCCCTGTTATCATTCCCATTTTCCCAGGAAACCTTCATTCCCTCGAATCCCACCGCAGGCCTGGCACCCTCTGTCCCCACCCCTCGGAAGACTCTGTCCAGGTCCTCAACCAGCAGCTTGTTTCTTCTCCTTTTTTTTCTTTTTATTTTTTTGAGACAGGGTCTCACTATGTAGTTCACACTGGTCTTTAACTCACTATGTAGCTCAGGCTGGCCTCGGACTTGGGGCGATCCTCCTGCCTCAGCCTCCCGAGTACTGGGGTTACAGGGGTGTGGCACCACACCTGGCTGCCTGCTTCTTGTAATCCAAGTTTCGGCTCAGGTGTCACCTCCTCAGAGAGACCCCTTGATCACTCCCCTTCCAGTCACACTCCCATCCTTCTGTTTCCCTGTTTGATTCCTCCATGGCCATCATCGAAAAATCAGTCATTATTTGCAGTGGTTAGGTTCCATAGTCACCCGGATTTGTTTCACTAGCATATGGTCTCAAGACGCATCGATTTTCCTATGAATGACACCAGTGTATCCTTCTTTATAGCACAGTAGTACTCCACTGTGTATAAATTATCAGATACACAAGATTAATTACACATGGCATGGACTCTCTTACAAGAGAATACGAGAAGCCCAAAGTAATAAAGAGCAAAGTATAAAGACTTGTTCTGTGAGTTTCTGCTTGCAGACGCCGCACTGAATACCTACAGCTGCCTCGGCCCACAGCGCTGCGGCTCCTGCGGGAGCTTAGGGAGCGGCGTTCGCGGGGCCTTCACAGCCTCCTGGGCATCTGACGGGGGAGGGCGCGAGGGGGCGCTGCAAGCGGCGAAATCCCTGACACAAAGCACAGAAACGCTAGAAACGCAAGACCCTCGCCCGGCTCCGCGGCCCTGCCCCCCAGGTCCTCCCGCTGGGGTCTGGGCCTCCAGGAGGCCCCGCCCTGCGGGCCACAGGCTGCTTCCGGCCCTCAGGCTCCCGCCCTGCCCTGCACCCTCCCGCTCCACCTGATGCCGCCCCAACTGGGCCCCCAGCCCAGAGCCTGCAGCCTGCAGTCCTCACAGCAGGGCGCTGTCTGGCTTTCCATTTCTGGCCAGGAGAATTTGCTGCTGGGATCCTGTCTCTCCCTGACTGGGAGGTGCACTGGGCCCAGCACCGCCGGAAACCCTGACTATGGCAGAGGATCCACCACCACGTAGCTGTGTGGCCTCGGTTTCCTCATCGGTTCTAAAAAGAGAAGGCCCGGGCGTGGTGGTGCACGCCTGTGATCCCAGCACTCGGGAGGCAGAGGCAGGAGGATCGCTGAGAGTTCCAGGACAGCCTGGGCTCCATAGTGAGTTCAAGGCCAGCCTGAACCACATAGCGAGGTCCTGTCTCCAAAAAACCAAAAATAAATAAGAAGAGGGTAAGATCACTGTCTTCTATTATGTTGTCAAACAATGGAATATAAAAGTGCTTTGCAAACTGTACAGTTCTCTTCCAAGGCAGTTGTTATTTTATTCCCGGTTCCCTTGGGAATGGAGTAGTACCTGTGTCACGGCTCACACCCTGCGGCCTTCCTTTGGCAGCGTGACGGAAGTCTAGACTCTGCTTTAGCGTTCCCAAGCCACTCTGGGCTTTATGTACTAATTTGTTACTTATTTGCAGTCCTAAGGACTGAACCCAGGGCCTTTGCACTGAGCTACGTCCCCAGGCTTTTTTGAGACAGGATCTTGCTAAGTCACTAAGTTGCCCGGCTTGGGACTGAATTTGTGATCCTCCCGGCTCAGCCTCCCAGGGTTGTGGGCTCACAGGGGTGAGCCATCTTCTGTTCCTCCGGATGGCTGCAGCTGCTCCAGGGCCCAGCTTCACAGCTGAGCTTTAATTGAAACGGGAAGGTGTCGGAGGTGGGGCGCTGGTTAGCAGGGTGCACCTGGGGGAGCAGCTGATGCCCACAAGGAACTTTTCCCCAGAAGCTATTGGTTGGTTGACTCTCCCTGGATTCTATTGGCCAGGCTGCATCACTGATCCGCCAATCACTGGCTCAGGAGAGCGAGTGTAGGCCAATCAGGGTTCATCTGTGGTTGAGCACTGAGCAAAACTGGGGCTCTGGCACCAAGGCAGGCAGGACCACAAGGCCACCGCCCTCCTGCTGCTGTGTCCCCACCCCTGGCCCCGCGGCCCCTGCCCCCCATGATAATACCTCACGTTTGGGAGACGGGTCCCCATGCCGCTGCCTGCCTGCTAGCCGGGGCGCAGACGGGGCGGGCTCGGGAGAGTCCAGGCCCTTGGCCCGAGCCAGGGTGCGCCCGACTCGGCTGGAGGGAGGATTTCTGGCTCGCGCCCCGGATCCGGTGGCCCTCGCAGCCCTGACCCGACTTGCAACCGGCTAGTTTCGGTGCCAGACAAGCAAGGGTTTGCCAAGCTTGCAAGTTCCAAAGACGAAGCCCTCGCGTGTGCCAGGAGGCAAGCGGAGGAGCCAGGTGCCCGGCCACGGCCGAGCCCGGGTGTGCTGGCCCCCTCGCAGCATCCTGTGTCTCGTGTCTCGGCGGCCCTGCAAACTGGGGAAACTGAGGAAAGGGCAACAGCATCCTGGGCCGGGTGACACGCGGCCCCCACGAGCTTCTCCTCTGCTGGCTGCAGGTTCCGGCTGCACCGCTGGAGAAACCGGAACCCCGTGGGGCAGCTAGGCCAGGAGAGCAGTTCCCGGGAAGGGCATCGAGCGGGCCCTGGGGCCAGAGGGCTTGGCCCGAGGCCCGGAGCAGCCCGCAGCACCCGCACAGGGAGAGGCCCCGCCCCGCAGGGGATCTGAGGGATCGATCGCATCTCCTCCCTGCCCCCTCCCACCCACTCAGCAAACAGCCCGCCATCCTGGTTCTGTGGCCGAGGTGCAGCTCACAGGATGGACAACTGTGGGCCACGAGGGAGGTAGGAGACAGGAGCTCACAGAACGGGCGAAAGATGTTTGAATTTTTGATGGGTTTCTTTTTGGGGGGTGCACCAGGGATCGAACTCAGGTCCTTACACCTGTGGTGGAACCACTGAGCTAAATCCCCAGCCCTGTTCTTTTAATTTTTGAAGCAGGGTCTCGCTATGTAGTTTTCCTTGAATTCACTATCTAGTTCAGGCTGGCCTTGAACTCACGGCAATCCCCCTGCCTCAGCCTCCCAAGTGCTAGGTCCGAATTTTCATTTTGCACCAGGTCTCACTAGTGACACAGCCGTCCTGCCGGGTGTTTTACTGCAATGCCAGGGAAATGAAGCCAGTCCTCTGGCCTGGCCCAGCTCCTTGCTTCTTCCTCCTTGGAGCCCAGCAGACCATGCAGGGCAGCAGGTGCTTGTGTCAGGGGTCAGGGTCCCTGTGACAAGGGCTAGGGGCCCAGCACCCCTGGCCCAGGCTGGCCGAGACTGTCCTCATGTGGGGACTGAGTGCTGTGTCGCTGTGAATTCTGTATCCTGCCCTTCACTGGGCCACCTCCTGACGATGTGATGCTGTTTGCTGCTTTTTAGGTGCACTTCACTTTCAATAATAGTCCCAACGTGGCTGAGCCCAAGTAGCTTTTTTTCTTGCATGTGGTTCAGGCTAGCCTTAAGCTCACTGTGTGGCCCAGGCTGGCCTCGAATCTGCAGTGATCCTCCTGCCTCAGCCTCCTGAGTGCTGGGATCACAGGGGTGCACCACCTCGTGGGGCCAGAGCGGCTTTTTCATACATTCATTTTAAATGTCTTAAGTGTATTCAACCTCTGCTTATAGGGGCCAGAATAAAGCAGTTACCTCAAAACCTCCCTTCCCTATTCAAAGCAATAAGCATTAATTTACAGAAGCAGCAAAACCGCTTCCAGCAGCCAGTCACCAGTTCATCACCCTGTGAGACTCCCCAGACCAGGAAACCTCGATAGTGGCCTCTCACCCCAGAGCAAAATGTCCACTGCAGCAGCCCCAGGCCGGTCCCTCCGCTGCCCTCCAGGTCCTAGGTGAGTGCAGGTCCCCGGACTGCTGGGGAAGGCAGCCCTGGCCTGCTGCTTGCCAGGTGGGAAGCGGGGTGGGCACTGCTTCTCTGACCTCAAAGATTTTGCTTGCTGCTAAGATATATCAGATAAGGTCTTAGCAGGGTGTGCTTGTCTGCAATCTCCAACACTTCAGGAGGCTGAGGCAGGAGGATTGCAAGTTCAAGCCCAGTCTGGGCAATTTAGTGACTTAGTGAGACTCTGTTTTTAAATTAAAAAAAAAAAAGGTCTAAGAAAGTAGCCCACTGCAAAGGCCTCAGTTCAATCTCCAGTACCTAAAAGAAAACAGCGGGATGAACCTGATGGTGTGGGTTCAGGAGCTTGGCTATGCACTGGCAGGCAGCAGGCAAGGCAGGGGCGGCTCATCACGCGGAAGCCGTGGGCACAGGGCCCTGGCTGAGGCAGCTGCCCAGCTCCTCAGCGCACACCCGGCTCTGCAAACCCGCAGCGGTGCAGGCCCTGGTTTCCTTCCGGTCCGTGAGGCTGCTGTGTGGTGTCTGCCCTGGAGAGGAGGCCCTGTCACCAGGTCCTTGGAGAGCAAGTCAGAGTCTTGAGCTGCAGCACCGAGCTGGCGGCTGCTCCACCTCTGCCTCCCAGAAAAACTTACAAACCCACAGCTGAGAACTGGCCTGTCCCTGGGCCCTGTCCAGTGCCCTCAGGGCAGATAAGCCAGGGCCTCCTCCCTGGAAGCCAGCCCGGGATGCCCTTGGTCGTGGTGCCCAGCAGACGCCTGCGTCTGGAGCGGCCACTCCTGTCCCCATGGGGGTGGTTGAGGTCCTCCCAGACCCTGCACACCCTCGCCTCTCGCTCCGCGCTTTCCTGCCCTCTGCCCCATTACTCTGCCAAAGTTCTGTGAAGGACCGGCTGGGCAGCTTGTGTGGCATCAGGGTGACAAATCTTAAGAGGCTTGGAAACATATTGTCCTCATCTGTCCCCTCCCACCCCCCAGCACACCTGCCAACCCAGCTCTGCCTTTGCAGTCTAGCATGACACTTCAGTACCCACAAGCAGGCTTTGACTCTCTGGTACCCCAACTCATAAGAGTTGAGCACCCAGCATTTATCACAGGAAGAAAAAATGTCAATTCTCAAAATATGAACTTTAAAGCCAGGCACAGTGGCACACATACCCGTAATCCCAGCACTCAGGAGGCTGAAGCAGGAGGATTGCTGGGAGCTTGAGGCCAGCCTGGGATATATGGTGAGTTTAAGTGTAAGCTACACAGCAAGAGTTTGTGTCAAAGAAAACCAAAACAAAAATCTAAAACAAAACAAAAAGATAAAGACTTTGGAGATTTCTATAACTAGCAAGGAAAAACCTTTGGAGTATTACTTTCACCTTCCTGAGTGCTTTCAATGCCAAGTTTTATATTTAGAATCACATGAATTATGCAGAGCCATGCACTGGTGGACAGCTTCCAAACGCTAGAAATTACATTTCCCTCCCTTTGGATAACGAAGTTCAAGGTCTTCCCCACAAGTGACATCATGTCTCAGAAGCAGAAACCAGTCCCCACAGAGGCCGTCTCGGTCTCTTCAGGGCCCCTCGCCTCACCCTCCTAGCCGCTTCTCCTTGCTGCATCTGTCCGATTCTGAGACTCAGAGGCCCCGGGCAGGTGAACGGTGGTGGGGCTGACAGCACCGGATGCAGTTTGATTCGGGGAACGGGTGCTGGAGTTCAGGCCGAGGATGAGGACTGGGAGAGTTTCCACTGCCTGTTACACTGGCGGGAGTGGGAGTGGGAAGAAAGCAATGAGCTCTTACTCGTCTTAAGTGCCTCACCTCCCGAGTTAGCTTACTCAGTACTGTCACGGCAGAGTAGAGTGAGGTTGAGAGGCTGAGGAATCTGCCAAAGGGCAGAGTTGAGATTCAAGCTCAGGGGCTTCACCTCGGGCTCCACTGTGGGCTCCTAGTTGGACAAAACCTTGACAGCCTCCCCCGCCCTTGGTGCTGGGGATGGAGCCCAGGGCCTCAGGCAAGATAGACAAGCTCCCACCACCTTGGACTGTGTTTTTGAGGCAGCATCTTGCTGAAGTGCCCAGGCTGGCCTCCAACTTGGGGTGATCTTCCTGCCTCAGCCTCCTGAGTAGCTGGGATTATAGGTGGTACCATCATGTCAGCCAAGACCTCGAATTTAATGGTGCCATGATGGAAGGATACTTGGGCACTAGATGTAATCATAGCCTAGGATTTTAGCCGCTCCCAGTTTCCTATCTGGGACTCGGGAAAAAAAGAAACATGATTGAAATCTTGACTCTCTCCAATCTGAAATGAAAGCATTCTCTTCATCTACTACCGCCTAGGGCAGAACAAAATGTATTTCACTTCTCTATCCAAAAAGATTTTTAAAAATCATGGATTTTAGATTTTCAGTGGTTAACTATCTCCACAACAACCAAGAGGAACACACAAAAGTGCCTTTTAGTGTTGGGATTATTGTGTTTACTTTAAAAGAGGAAGAGGACATCGGGGCAACTTTAACCCTTTAACAAGTGTATTTAATCCTTGATATTTAACTCTTATTTACCCAAAACAAAAACCTGAACAGAGGGAGTTTGCTGGTTTGGGGAAACACTGAATGGGAACCAAGAGCTGCTTTTAGTCCTTGTAATTCTATGGAGCAGCACAGCTGTCATCCCAGCACTCAGGAGGCTGAGACAGGAGGATCACCCCAAGCTGAAGGCCAGCCTGGGCCAGTGTATTCAAGGCCAGCCTGAACTACATAGTAAGACCCTGTCTCACCACCCCAATCCCCAATAATAATACAGAGACCACTGCAAACAAAACTTGTTTTTAGGTAGGTGACCTACATGAGTGACAGTATGAGATCCAATCCTCTTAAAGTATTGGGAAACTCAAAACATTTCCAATTAGTAGGAATTGTGGGCAAACTTGTTAAAGCGCGAGGGCTCTTCTGGACCTAACTCGGGGACTGTCTCGCTGTGACAGCTCCTAACCAGCCACACCTGTTGAGACCACATGCGGGATCCAGACTGGCCCTGTGACTCGCTGTAACCAAACCAACACAGCACCACAGTGGCCTGTGCCAGGCCAGGCCACTGCCGAGTCTTGTTTAACTCAGACTCCTGTGCTGTGGGAGGCCCTCACTGTTTCACACAACATCTAAGAATCAGTGGATCCTCCACCATCCTGTCCTGCCTGGAACAGGTGTGGAAAGGCAAAAGCCCTACCGTGGTCTACAGACACCTGGATCAGAAGCAGCACTGGGGCCATGTCCCAGCTGGGCATCCTGGAGGAGGCCCCCTGGTGGCTGAGAGGTGTCCCCTTTCTCCTGCCTTAAATGGGGGTCCTCACGGGGTATTCAGGGTGGCTCTTGGGACAGTGCACATGACAGTCTCGGCGAAGGCTGCAGACAGGGGCGTCTGCACCGGTTTTGCTCCTGTCTCCCGCCACTCCCTCCCCAGCGCTCAGGCTCCTCTCCCTCAGCTGTCCAGCCATGAGCTAGCCCTATACTCTGCTGCTGTGGAAAGCTGCAGCTAAGGCTCTTCAGAGACTCTGATCAGAAATGAACCAAAGGGATGAAGACAGCACTACAGGTTGTAGGCCTGGTGTCACCAGGATGACTGTGCCCTCTTTCAGAAGGTGGTCAGCAGCAGGACAGTCACCATCTCCGTGTCCTGGGTCCATCCCAAGCCTGACAGGGAGCCAGGACCCCTGAGGGGAGGTCACATCTGGGCCAGGCTCCTCACCTGACAGCAGAAGCTGGGGTTCTGGGTCTTCTGATTGCAAAACGGGTCTGTCTCATTCCAGGCTCCTCCCGAGTTCCCTGTGTCTGTTCCCGCGAGACCACTGTGGAGATTTAGTTTGCTTCTCAAGCCTCTAAGAGTTAAGAACAAGGTGACCCAAATCCTGAGAGGTAAAAATGTATTGATTTTTATCACATCAGCATGTTATGATATGGTCACACCTGCTCATATAGCTGACTTCTGAGAGCCAAAAGATGATTTTCTTTTTTCTTTAAAAATACAGTTTTCAGTAGGAAGAGACATTTTAAAAACATACATTTTCACACTGAGGGGGAATTATAAACAGTGGCTTCCCCCAACTCATGAGGAGCAGGGCTGGTCAGCAACAGATCTCTGAGGGCTTCGATTTGTTTTCCGGCCTTGGCCCCATCTGTTCTGTCCTCCACAGAAAGTACTTCCGGGGAACAGAGCCTCACTACCACAGCAGCCTACATCCAGGGAGAGAAAGAGGTAGACTGAACTGGAATGAGTTAAATTATTTGGCAGAGTGTGCAAGGTAAATTAACACATTTAAAAATTTCCATGGGATCAAACATACTTGACAATCAGGTAACTAAACACTCAATGCTTGAAATTCGTAAAACAAAATCTTAGTGATGCTTAGACCATGGTTGCTTAGCTTTGAAAGATGAAAACATAAAAGCCAACTTTAGAAACCATAATCTTCCCTTGTACTTTAGGAAAGCTTGTTCTTGTCAGATTTCTTCAAAATCAAAAGATCACTCGGTAGGTAGGATGGATCTTAATCCTTTTCCCACCCCTTAAAGTTCCCACCAACGTCAATAATAGAGGTTTTCGCAGACCTATGGCTAAACTGTGAGTTTATTCAACATTAATAATTAAACAGCTTAAAACAAAATAAAAAGAACCAGGGCAGTGGTATGCTGGAGACAGCTACTCCTGGCTCCTAGGAGCCAGTCATTCATTTTGTAATTTTCCAGCAGCTGTCAAACAATTGTTATTAAATTATATTAACTTGAATTACTGCTGAAGCTAAAAAGTGGTTTTGTTTTGTTTTTGGTACCGGGGATCAAACTCAGGACCTTGTGCTTGCGAGGCAGGTGCCGGAACCACTGAGCTAAATCCCCAGCCCTAAAAAGTGGTTTTGTACAAGAGTAAGAAGAGCTTGGGACTGGGGACATAGCTCAGTGGTAGAGCTAGTGTACGTGAAGCCCCAGGTACAATCCCCAGCCCCAAGAAACACAGCTTAAAAGATCATGTATTAGACTGACAGTGAGTTCACCGGGAGATGAGTGAGTGGATTAGGAGGTGACACCGTCATTCAAATCATGGTTGAAATACAACCAAAGGTCAGCTGTAAGGTTCAGAAAAAAGAATCAGGTATCTGAGGAGAATCAACTGGCTATGTGGAATTTACAATAAAATATTTATATTTTATTATTGTTAATTGTGTTACACAACCTTATCAGGAAGATTTGTAACAACCTCATGTGCATGTGTACACACAGCTTCTTCCAGGCCAGCGGACGGCTAAGCGCTGCACACCGCGGGCAGGGAGGGTGAGGGCGGGGAGGAAACCCTTCTGCACACAGAGCCCGAGTTTCTGCCCCTGCAGCACCCGCCGCTTGGCAACCCACTGCTCGGGGCCGAACCGCGTGCTCCCAGCTGTTGACGTCCAAAGAGCTCCATACAACACAGACACCCTGGCCCCTTAAGGAGAAGTAAAAGCACTGTACTTGAAAAAAATCAACTTTATTTTCTCAAGGTTAAAAAAAAATAGAACCAGCTATCTATTTTTTGCTTTTGGTTCACATCTAAATATCTGAAAAGGTGATCTTGGTTTCCTAAAACCATCCCAAATGCATCCACAAACCAGACCACATGTAACCAGCCCTTTACAACATCAGTTACAGTTCCACAGCCTTTACACGCGCCCCTACCACACATTACAACATGCAGATACACAGAAAGGTCAGCAAGCAGAAGTAAACATTACAGCATCAGGAACATGAACATCCATCTGTATAAAATAAATACAACCTTGTAATAACTGTAAAGAAAATGAAAGCACTTAATAAAAATAATGGCAATTGAATGTCTAACTGTGTCATTACCTAATCGTAAAACAAGTTCTTGTAAAATGCATAGACTCTTTACATGGAAAGAATTTGTGCACCATAGTCATGTGTCAACAGTTTTACACATAAAATAAAGCAATTCAAAACATGTGCATATTCTGCAACTAGAATACACTGAAAAATTTTTTGCTCTTTAAAGCATTTAAAAAATATTCAATGTAAAAATCCTCAGATGGAAATTTTGCAGAAAACCCCACATTTTCTCTTCCATATGGCTACAGTCGCCCTTCCCCAACAGGTCGGCACCCTCAGCCTATTGCAGGTCCAGCTTCTAACTGCTGGGGACTGGTACAAAATGATTCCAATAAAGCACCAACCAACGACTGCTGCAGAGTATGCTCGGCCCTTCTGTGATCGAGAAATTTCCAACTTAGGTGGTTTTGGTCCCAAACATATTAGTCTCTACTTCCCATAAAATGAACCATTCGCCTGCTGCCCAGTGCTCCCCTGGACTCTGGCCTGCATGTTGACAGGGGGAAGGCCCACAGCACTGCGGTCCAGATGCACACATATGGTCTACCATTTCTATCCAGCCCCTGTGGACCAGAGCTGAACCTACATGCAATGGTAACTCTGGGGTGAGTCCTGGGTAGTGACCTCAAAACAAGAACAAAGAAAACAGTTAACTCTCCCTATTCAGTAGTGCAAATAAAACATTTTCCTTTTAAATATAAAAGAATACAAGAAGACTACCCATTATTAAAGACTACTATGATTATAGCCAGGACCAACTAGCTCAGAAGAGTCTTTAGCGAAGTGATTGTCAAGAACATCACCCAGACAAATCTGCAAGAGGTGAGCATTGTGAGCGAAGACCGAGTGGCTTCTCCACACCTGTCCAGACAGAGGACACCAGAGTGACCTTTTAGGCGACAGTGGGGGACCTAAGGTGTCAATTCCTGATGATCCAGGGATGCCTTTTCCAGCCATGGACTGCTCGGCTGTGTTTCCATGCCCTTTTTCTACTCAATAACACAATCATAAATACACAGGCAAAGGAAATTAATGAACAAGTCATATCAGTTTTTAAAATTAGTAAGCATCCTAGAAGGAAAAGAAGTCTGATGAGAGAAGAAATTCAAACTCCTACATACTACTGAATTTTTGGCTTCCCTATGATTTAGCCTCCATTTGCCAAGTAGATAATTATGCCATAATTAAGAAACTGGAAAAATAAGGACTGATTGTAATATTAATAACTACTTAATAATATGACAAATATGAACTCACAGCTACCTTTAAAAATCTATTTAAATTCTCAACTGACTCGTTTGTCCTCCAAGCCTCATTTTCCACTGTGGTTTTTCCTCCATTGCTTGTCGGTATCCCTGTGACATGTGTATCTCAACACCAGCAACTCTTTCTGAAGCTAAGGGCGAGTCACCGGGCCTGCTGGGGCCAGGCAAGTGCTCAGACACAGTCACTCATTGACACCAGGATGCCAACAGCAGGTGCGCGACCCAGGCTGCCCGCTGGGCCCAGAAGCCTGAGACCCTAGCCGGCCACCTCCGTGAACTGGGAACTGTTTTCTCTTCTTTCGCCCTGACAAGATGTAACACCCCCTTTATAAAGAAAGTGCAGGTAGGAATCTTACTCAGCTCTGCACAGTGCCATCGTGCTGCTTCCCTGAAGGCCATAAAAGATCACCGATTCTCTCCACATTCCCAGTGCAAGAGGATGAACTCCAGTGAATCAGGAAAGCACAACCAATGTTCTCAAATAATGTTTTGAGAACGGGAGAGACAGGACATGTTCAGAAAGAATGGAAGAGGGTTAGGGCGGATCCAATACACACCTGTTCACAACTCACAGATCTATGTTCAAAAATCGGCTCACACAGGTGTAGGTGTTTGTCACTACGGAAATGACACTGCACTGGAAGAGCAAAGCGTCTTACAGGAGAGTTTAATGCATACAGTGTATAACAAAGTCATGGTTCTTTGGAGCACAGCAATGACAAAGTAGCCCAGGCCACCTGTACCTGTGCATGGATGCAGCTTGGGGACAAGACTGGCCACTCTGCCTGTGGCTGGCTTTGCACTGAGGACAGGTCTGGTAGCTAGGACCGTGCACGCTTGCATGTCAGGGAGCAAATTCTCCGCTGAGGGCCAACTGATGCCTCCAATGAACAATTCCAGTTCATCCTGAAACTGACTGGTATTTGCTGGGCCTCAAACAGAAGTGTCGGACAGCTTCTCTTTGGCTTTCTGCCATTTGGTGAGACTGGCTTCACCTACTGTCACTGCAGAACACAATGCATTACTTGAGTTTTGAAAACACTGCCTTCTATAACAACTGTTACCAGGCCATTCATCTTAACACTGTCGCCTGCAGTTTAGCAGCAGTAAATATTCCATGAGGTATTTCAGTTAACACATCCTGCTCTTCTATGTATGCTCCAAGTTACCCTAAAGACGAAGCTGCTGTGGGGTTTTATTTGGTGTTGCTCCACCTTTCCCATGTAACTGGGCAAAATTCACATCCTTTCAGTTTTTTTGGTTTACCTGAAAACAGAAAGCATTAGCCTTTATTTTTGTTTTACAGCCTACTTCTCAGGATTATTATCTGTGAAATTAGTGACAAGGGGAGTCTACAGTGCTCTTATCACAGAAAACTACCACCAACAGACAGATCTCGACAGCTTCACAGTCCTCAGCCAAAAGACATCTTCGATCTCCACTCTACTGCAGTGCCAGCACTTTCTAGGAGTTTGGTTCTCCAGTGAGGTAAAGCAGATGAATATAGTGACAAATAAAGTAAAAGTTTCCTGGAAAGAACTGAAACTTGACTTTATCCTCTTCAACAGCAGCTGGCAGAGGCCAGAAGCCCCTGCACTGCTCTCTCCAGGCTGTGCCTGCGTGGAGGGGCGGGCACAGATGCAGTGACTGACACATGGGATTGGCCAGGGCCAGTGGCTGTGGCTTGAGAACTCGTCACAGCTCCAGGCCAATGCTTGGTGCTAGCTCAGTTTCCTAATAAACTAATCTTTTCTCCATAAGCTGACCAGTAAATGTTTTGCATTAATTTGTGTCAACCATCCCCAAATGCATCTGGTGCTACATCAAAATGGGGAGGGCTCTCACTACGACTGGTGTTGTAGCAGGAAGGGTGCGGGTCAGGGCGGCAATGGACAGGCCTGTGGGCGAGTGGGCAGTGGCAGGGGAGCCTCCAGGAGCCAGCTCGCTGCTGAGGCTCACTTGTGTTTTCAGGGTTCATTACTATCCTCGGCTACATCTGCATCTGATAAAAGTGCATTCTGTAAAATACAATGATCCATCTACGATATGCCTTCTACCCAGGAGAAAACAAAGGGAAAGCACGAGCACATGTAAACATGGCACTGGGCTGCACTGGTTCCGGAGCACAGCCCGTGCCAGGAGGTGCGTGGTGGACACTGCTGCCCGCCAGGGAAGGGGCTGGGCCGGGACTTTGTCTCTGCCAACGGCAGGGAAGCTGCTCTTCTGCAGGTGGCCCAGCTCTGCGCACTGTGACAGCGATGGCCACAGGTGGGTGTGGGCCAGGCCCTGCGAGCCCAGCTCTAGAGAATGTGACCCGGGAGGGGCAGACACAACCCCTGAGCTGGAGCCCAATGACCAAGGGTATCTGGTGGCAACAGAGTTTCTTTCCATCTTCGAGGATGGTTTTATGATTTCCACTTCTCCAGATGTGATGTTTGCTTAAATATGTGGTACAGCATATCGCTTTAAAACAAGAAAAGTTCTTAAAATATATTAGCAGGTCATTCTATTACTGATCCTCATTTTAGTAGAGTTTTAAAATATCCCAAAGGGGGATACATATTCATCCATCCATTGAATTTCCTTTGTTTTATATATTCTGATTTGCACGTGTAAATAATGTACACTTACGAAAGTGTGAACTCCTATGGTGACCTTAAGTCCAAGTCAATATCTAAAACAGGCAATGGTAAAAATACTGAATGATGCTGTACCACAGATAGCCTGACAAAAATGCCCAACACTGGATGAGGAATATCCACACGTTGCTGAGGGTCATCTCCCGGGAAACAGCTTCCTTATGGCCCTTGGGAGGTGGAAAGGCTCCTGCAAGACAAGACAGAAATATTTCCCTGTGGGGACAGGTCTCCTGGAATACAAGGTGGATTTTAATGTAACTAGTGTTACAGTTTTAAAGGCCTCTCTTTGTGGCTTCCCAATGCTCCTGATGAGGTCTCCTGTGGAACACGGTTTCTAGTGCCCAGCCTCCGCCTTCTCCCCAGAGCAGGCTTATTTCCTCCCCTCTTCACACTTATTTCCTTCCCAGAACTTTCCCCACTCCTCACTCTGCCATCCTCCTGCTGAGCCACCCTGCTGCTCACGGATGCTCTAGCAGTTTCCACAGGGCCCGACCTGCGATGGGTGACAGACACCAAACCCCTTCTGAAATAGCAGAATTTATAGTAATTCCTTTACTGACAAGTTGCTTTTTTGCCACAGAAAGTGGTCATGTTATACTGACATTACTTTCAAAAGGCAGAACGGTTATGAAATATATCAACAATAAAAAGAGAAATACAAAGTAAACAGATGCCTCCACATTTTCTCCTAAAAAGCCAGCTTCCAAGCAATACTGCCCGAGGTCATCTCTACTCTCTCTGCAGTCCCTGCCCTCTGCATAATCCCGGGTAATCTGCTCCAGAGGGGATTTGCTACTCACAGGCATCCAGAGTGCACTTTCAAGTTTCAAGGTCTAACATGCAAATAGCTTTCTTAAAAAGAGGTTTCTGTTATTGTTGCTACAATGCAGGCCAAACAGCCTGAGTGAGAGAGGAGGTAGGAAAGGAGAGGGTTGGTGTGGGCCTCTTGGCCCTGAGTCTTCTCAGCCTTTGCTTAGTCTAAAACCCCACAGCCACCCTCGGACCCAGGCTGCTGGTGTTTACACCTCTTCTCCCTGTTTAGGTGCCAAAAAACAGCAATTCATGAAAGCACTTTGACCGTGCCAGTCATTCTACCAATATGTTAGCTTCCTTCTTCCCTCTCTCCTCTTTCCCTTTCTTTATTTTTCTTGCTGCATTATAGAAATTTTGTTTTGTTTTGTGGTATGGGGGATTGATCCCAGGATTCCACCTCCCCAGCCCTTTATATCAAAATTTTGAGACAAGGTCTCACTATGCAGCCCAGGCTAACTTCCGATATGTCATCCTCCTGCGCCAGCTTCCCAAGTAGCTGGGATGACAGGTGTGTACCACCACGCCTGGGGCATTTTATAGAATTTTTATTTTTTATAGAATGTAGATAATATTAAAAACAGAAGGGAGCTTAGGAAATAGACTTTTTTATTCAAAGGAGAAAAGACTAAGTTTCTATCCATGAAAACTTAAAAAGTGAACACTCACATAAAGAAAAGAATACACCTGTAAAAACGTAGTTTAAAAAGACCTCAAATGACTAATATATTATTAAAACAATCAAGCGCAATGTCAAAACATGAATGTTCCTTGCTATTTCCTAAAAATTCCCACAGTTGTACACGCGTGACTGTGGTCATTCACAGACTGGGCCATGGACTCTCCAGCCGCATCACTCCTGTGGTCTCCTATTGTCCTGCGATCCTTGTAACAGGATGACTCGGGAGTCAATGCTTCTAACACACACTGGTCGTTAGAAGCATTCTAAACTGAAATTCTTAGATACAGAGATGCTCATTTCTTTAGGTTACCAAAAATAACAGTTCTCTTCCCTAAAGCAAGCCTTTGGAATTTCCAGTAAATTCAGAAGTGCATACAACAGAAGAGACTGTGTACCTGTTTCATAAAAATGGGCTAAGAGGTCTTCTTTTTCAATAAATCGTTGATAGAGCCAGTTGGTAAGATCATCAGTCTCCAGGGGCACATCCTTAATTGGAAAAATCCTATTAAGAGTTAGGGAAAAAAAAAGACAAACACAACTTTAATTTAGCAGTGAATGTCACTAGGATCACAACATAGCTTTGGTGATGAAAAGCCAAATAAACTTACCAAACAACCTTTTGCTTTTGGAAGAATTGGCTTGGTTTTTAAAAAGGCCTGTTGGCTTTTTTAAACTGTTGATTATGCAGTAGAATTCATTTATGCACTCATTCAAACATTCACTAGCTTATTATGTGTTAGGTCCTGTTTTAGATGCTAAAGATAAACTTTGTTTTTTTGTTTTTTCCTGTACTGGGATTGAACTCGGGACCTTGTGCTTGCGAGGCAGGTGTGGCGCCCCTGAGCTAAATCCCCAGCCCCTGAAGATAAACTTTGAAACTGTTCTGTATAAGTGAATAATTACTGAGAAAAATTATGTCTTTCTATGTTCATGGGTTTAAGTGGGAACAGTGAATGTGTGGAACATCCGGATGAAGTTTAAAATGTAGCTAAATCAGAACCCGTTCAGTCGTTTAGTCAAATGCTAGGCAGTATAATGTACCTTCACAATGTTCTCTGGTGGGAAAGTCCGGGAGCTGGACCGAATCTGCCAACATCGGTGGCTTTTCACTAGTCAGATCAGACACTCGTTTCATGAGCAGGGGCAACTTTAACTGAAGAGGCTACAGGATGGCTATTCTAACATGCAGGGTCCACGTCTGAGCCAACAGGAAATGAAACTGGCATGACTGGTGACACCCATGGAGGTGAGAGAGAAAGGGCAGCATAAAGACTGTGTTGGGCGCTTTTCTCTCCTTGCTGAGACAAAATACCCGACACTCAAAGTTAAAGGAGGAAAGGTTTATTTGGCTTATAGTTTGTAGAGGTTTCAGTCCATAATCTGGCTCCAAGGTAGGGTGGCAGAGGGGCAAAAGCAACAAGGGAAACATTTCTGCTCTTTTTACCTTATTCAGACTACCAAGGGCAGGCAGCACACACAGCCTTAATCCTAGTGCCCTCGGGGCTAGCACTGCACCTTGAATCACACGCTCCAGATGCAGTCACCTCTGAAAAAGCCCCACCTAAGACCACATGAGGCTTGGGTGAACATCTAGACCCAAGCCATAATAAAGACTACGACCTTGAAAAGTGTCTACAGATTTCCAGTGTATTTCTTTGTCAAAGGTGTAAAAGGTACACAGCTTAAATCCTACGCTAGGTTTGTATAAAATTGTCAGCCCTGTCTCTCTCCCTTTGTTTCTCCCTCCCCACAGGCATCAATGTTCATCTCTAGTAGCCAATCACTTGGCATTTATCACTGAGTTTCTTCTTCAGTTGCAGCCTTAGCTATTGTCTTCCTGTTCGCACCACACACGCACACCCTTCCCACCGTTCCAATGGAGGTATACAGTACACTCAATGCTATACTATAATCCCGTCTGCCCATGTGGTAAATCGTGGCTACTTTTCCCTTCTTGCTCCATTTTTATTAACCAATTACACTGCTGTTCATCTGCCTAATGTTCTGTGTATATGTACCTAATTCAAGCTCTTGGCCAACTGTCTAGATCAACTCTTCAGACTGTCTCACATCTTTTTGTAAAAGGCCAGGTAGAAAGTATTCTAGGTGTGGTAGGTTAACTGGTCTCTGCCCCAGCTACTCAGTTGGGCCTTACAGTGTGCAAGCCGCCAGAAACAGACACAAGCGTGCAGAGCCATGTTCAAACAAAACTTCATTTAAAACTTCACCCAGACTCTAGCTTTGACAGCTGTAATTCTCATTCTATGAAGTCCCTTCTCTGTCATCCTCGTGATGGCCTGGACTCCTAAACTGGAGTTGTGATCCTCACACGGCCCGTCCTTCCTTCTTACTTTCATGGAGCACGACTCCAGCAGCTTCCTGAGAAAGGCTGCTGGAAATCTCACACGCCTGCCACTGTCTTCTCTCTGCCTTGCTGCGGTTGGGATCTTAAGTGCCTCCAAAGAGGATGAGGCTTGGTGCCCAGGGGGTGCTGTCTGGGGTCCTTCACTCTCTGGGGATGGCCTCAAGGGAACTGTGGGGCCTTGGCTGCCTCCTCTGCTTTCCTTTGCTTCCTGGCCATGAGGTGACTGGCTTGGCTTTGCCGAGTGTTCCTGCCAGGGTGTGGGCCCCAAAGCAATGGAGCCAACCAATCCTGGACCAGAACCCTCAAGTCAGTGAGCCAAAATAACCCTGAGGTGATCGCCTCAGCTCAGGTATTCAGTTCTGGTGTTGAAAGCTCACAAACACATGCTTCAAACTTGGCTGATAATTTGATTAGACAGAAGACTCATCTGAGCTTAGAAACCAACTTCTCATCTATCCTCCTTTCTAGGAATTTCTTTTTTTTGGTACCGGAGATCGAACTTGGGACCTTGAGGCTTGTGAGGCAGGCGCCAGAACCACTGGGCTAAATCCCCGGCCCCTCTAGGAATCTCTTATACTGAGTTTTTATTTATTTTATTGTACTTTTAATTTCTAGAGCTCTTATATTGGTCTGTGTTCCTTTTTTATTATGTTATTGTTGCAACATCTTATTGTTGTAAGAAGTTCAAAACATTATAATGAAAAATTTTATTCATGAAAGTTAATATTTAAATATCAAAGTGGGGATATGCAACACCCAAATTAATTGCTAATGAGAAAAAAGGAAACAAGGAAGGGGTGTATCTTGGTTCCTTGGCTACAAAAAGCCAAACTCTGTATCACCTCCAAGTGAAGGGGATTTGGAGGAGAAATGATTGAAGACTAGAAAGACAGTTTTGAGAAGCTCCCTTTCTTAGGGTCTTTGCTTCTCTAAGGAGCCTGTTGATCTAGATGTCTTCGTTCATATATAAGAGGCTGTTTAAGTCAGGGAATGGGTGAGTCTGTACCTGCCAAGTAACAGTAGAGCCTCACTTTGAAAGTAGGAAGACAAACTAACACAACTGTAGTCAAACCTGTTTTCACCTTTCCTGTGTATACACTTTGTTTTTTCTTGCCTACAGCCCCAATCAGGTCCCTTCACACAATGCTGAAGAGCAGCAGCAATAAGCAGCATCTTCACCACTCATTCTTAATCCTTTGGGGGAAACATCAAATAGTTCACTAGTATGGTATCTGCTGGAGATTTTTTTTTATGCACCGTTAATCAGATTAAATAAATCCCTTTCTACTCCCAGTTTGCTAAAAGTGTTTTTTTTAATCATGAGTTTCATTTGGTCAAAAAAAATTTCCACCCATTGAAATGCATAAGTTTCCTTTTTAATTCTGTTAATAAGATCAATTACACTGATTTTAAATTTTAAACCGAAATTTCATTCCTGGAATGTATTCTTTTGCTATATAACATGTATTTTTATATAATGCTGGGCTTAGTTTTATATCTATAATCACATAAGAGGTTTGCTTGTAAAATGGTTCAGATTTTGGTATTAACATCATGCTGGCCTCGTGAAACAAGGTAGGAAATATTCCTCCTTTTGGAAGAGCTGCACTTCATGTCTTTTTATTGCTTTTTAATAACGATAGAAGCTGCAATGGAATCCCTTTTCATTCCCTATACTGGTAATACAGGCTTTCTTCTTTTGTTGATCAAAATGACAAAGGTGATCTATTTCATTGTTTTCAAAAACTAATTTTTGGTATTATTATTTTATTATCTGTTTTCTGTCTCATTAAGTTATTTTTCCTGCTTTATATCTTAAAATTTAATTTGTTTTCTAACTTTTTGAGATGAATATTTAGATCACAAATTTTCATTCTTCTTCTTAATATAGGCATATAAATTTATAAAGTATGCATCTTGTATGGACAGACTAAATTATCTCTCACAAGATTTGACAAATATTTTCATTATCATTCTGTTAAAAATAATTTCTAATTTTCATTGTAATCTTTTACTACATGGTAAACATTAAATTCTGTAATACATGGCAAACACCAATATACGGTAAACATTATATAGTTTTTCATCTATTATTATTATAAGCACTGTGGCAATGGAAAATATCAAATAAATGCCCACTTATGTGTGTATAAATTTATATATGGAATAAATTCTAAAGGTGAAAGCATGACTCAAAAGGTAAATGCATTAGGGCTGGTCGGGGATTTAGCTCAGTGGTTCCGCCACCTGCTTCTAAAGCACAAGGTCCTGAGTTCGATCCCCGGTACCAAAAAAAAAGGTAAATGCATTAGTAATTTTGAAAGATACTGCTATATTATCTCCATAAAAATTTTACCAATGGTTATTTTCAAAACTGGCTAAGAGAGCTTCTCAACTAGGTTATGCCATTTGGAGACCATATTCTTGGGGTTCCATCCATGAGTCCTCCTCATTCTCTTTTAAGAATAAAGCTATGTTAGACTGGGGATGGTGGTACATGCCTGTAATCCCAGCTATTCTGGAGGCAGTGGCAAGACAATCTGCAAGTTCCAGCCTGGTCAATTTAGCAAGACTCTGCCTCAAAATAAAATTTAAAGGGCTGGAAGTTTTGCTCAGTGGTACAGTGTTTGAACCCCGGGTTCAATCCCCAGCATCACAAGGAGAAAAAAAGCATATAACCAACTTATGTTTTCACTCTAATATTAGTCTTAATTTAATAAAAAAAAAACCCTCTGAATCATAAACATCTTGCAATTAAGCACTGCAAGGTGATTCTGGTGCCTGTGCCTGCACCATTTCGGCACAGTGCAGCGCGCCACCCTCAGGGTACAGCCTGAAGTCAGAGACTGAGCTGTACTTGACTTCTGATTCCGTTACAATAAATCCAGACCAGTTCTGCCTTGAGGGATGGCACAGGGGTTCCCAGGTAACAATTAGGGGATGTGGAAAAGCCGGCTGAGCCTGGAGGAGTCAACCTCGGGAGGTGGGATGGCACACAGCTTTTCATCTGAAACTCATCCCAGTTAGTGCCACGCAGGGACGCTAAAACCGACACAAAAATACACGTAAATATCACAGGTTGAAGGATCAGAAGACAGAGATCAGGGTGCCCAAGCAGCTGGACGGTGTGGCGTTCC